CAGAAGTATACACATAGTTCAATAATAATAATATATCCAGTGTAATCTCACAAACGGATTTGATGATCAAAGAGTCTCAATAAAATTGGTGGTCTAAAATAAAATTTTAATAAGAGACCTCAATTATGTATAATAGTTATTCTTTTCAATCATGACTAACAGTTTTTAAATCAGAAACCTTGAGTTCTTGATATACATCAATACACCCAAAAATATTATTGCAATAAGAGTTTTTGATAAACATCAATACACCAATAATATTATTGAGTTATGAATGTTGTTTAGATTCCTCTAGATATCTGATTTGTTAAGATATCTTCAGATCCATTAAGGGGCTATTCTTAAAATGTAACTAATGTACTTAATGGGCTGAATCTAGATGATTAAAATTCAGATCTAAAAATCAAATGCACTTAATGGGCGGTGAATTTGAATGATTAAGATTTAGACCTCCATTAAGTGCAAACAAATGAGGCCTTAGTTAACTAATAAGTGTATAGAGTGCTATTTATACCTTTATGTAGAAGGTTAGCAAAGGCATACGCATTCTTCGTACGTGTATTCTACATTAGTGAGTATACAATTTTTTTTATAAAAAAAGCAATACGTCATAAATAATACTATATAATATATTGAAGTCATGAAATCAAAATGAGAGAAGTATTTAAGTTACTAAAATGGATGATTGTTAATCCCATTTAGTTAGCAAAATTTTAATTTTCATACACCGCATAAGGAAAGTGTATAATTATATTTTCTGAGGACATACATGAAAATACCTTTTAAAAGAATTTATTTGTGTGGTCTGATACTAAAAAATAAATAATTAACATGATATGCCCAAATTACAACTTCTAATAGAAGTATAAGTCGTTGTTGTTCAAATAAAGAAGCTAACAGAGGTTAGGGTCGATTCAACGAGAAATAAGGTCTAGACATAGCGTAATTGTTTGCTAATTATACTTTAGTTGAGTTATATTTGTAAAGGAGGGGGGGTGGTGGTTGTGAAACAAAATCTTGATTTAATGATTGTAGTAACAAGTAACAAATGTAGCAAGATTTATGTTTCCAACAATCAATAAAAGATAAAACTAGGGTGTTTGTGTTCCCCAAAAGTCCTTACCTCAGTGAACCTTATAGTACTTACCTTGTCTTGTGTCCAGAATGCAAAGTTGGTAATTAGGTATAACTTAAGTGGTTGGTCCCTAAATATATTAATTTCACCACGTAACTAGGTCCATCTATGGGTGTATACTTTAATAATTCGTATCCTTGACCCCAAATTAGTTATACCTTGGTCCATTTAAGCTATTAGATGATGGTTGGTAGCCTCAATCTATGTTGTATAGTCCTTTTTCCCATTCGTTACCTCCTTGGTCCAACGAGTAGGAATAAGCCGATTTCTAATCAAAACGAAGAGAAAATAATCCGTCCATAAACATTATTCAAGAATTACTAGTTATTAGGTATACTTTATTGATTTCTCATGGTTCCTACAACCTTAGTTGTGAAATTAGCTACTCATGCTTGGATGATCACAATTCATATTAATTTGGTTAAAATAAATCATGAACTTACAATTAGCGTAGTTGAGTTCTGAAATCTTGAATTGAAGTTGCAAAATAGTGATAAAGATCGATGATATAATTATAAACCAAAGGATTCAAGAATTAAAGCTCACTTTATTTCTTAAAAGATATATTTTCTTCAGATTTGGTACACTAAGGGTAATAACCAGCGATGGAGATTCCCACTTTTGTAATAAGTTGTTCTAGGTGTTTCTTGAGAAATATGGTGTTTGACATAGCGTATAAACTCCTTACCATCTTCAATCTAGTGGACCTTGTTCATAAATATAGGGTGAATAAATTCATAGAGGACTTGTTCTACGGGTCACACCTACGAGTCGTAGTTCATCCAATGAATCGTAGATGGTACCCGTAGAAACCTCAGTACAACTGCCTCTTTAGGTTTACGAGTGCACAATATGAACCGTAGAAAGTTTTATGGTCTGTAGTCTTCACTCTAGACTCCAGGTATGTTTCTCAAAATTTACCAAGTGTTGTGTCGACCTACTAAAGCCTTTGAAACTCCTATGGTCAGTAGACGGGAATTTGTAAAGGCCTAGGGGTGTTCATGTTTCCTTGAAATACCTCTTTCTCTTTGACAACTATCACAAGACTAGACGAATTCATGAACATCTTGATAAATTGTAGGCTAATAATACCCACATTGAAAGATTTTTAAGGCAATTCGGATATCACTATGATGACGTCCAAAAGGTGATGAATGGCATGCCTCAAGTATTCTTATCATCTCAACCTCACATATACGGTGACGAATAATCCTATTAGTACAAACACGGAACAAGTATGGCTCTTCCTATATGAACTTCTTCACAATAGGAAAAATACTTTCTGAATTGGTGAAAGGACAAATCTAAAGGCACACATCACTCATGAAATAATTAGCAAAATCAGCGAACCGTGGGATCAGATCATATAAAGCAGCCAAGACTTACTCATCTATAAAAGTATCATCTATCTCAAACTCATAAGCCAATTTCAACATTGCTTCTACTTCCTATCTGGACAAACGATCAACAACTTGATTTTTGATCCTTTTTTCTGTCTCTAACTTCAAAAATGATTTCTTGGAACAACAACACCCAACGAATCACTCTTGGTTTAGAATCCTACTTTGCCATAAGGTACCTGAATGTTGCATGATTAGTGTGCACAATGACTTTGGTGCCAAGCAACTATGATCTAAATTTCTCGAACGAGAAGACTACAACAAGCAATTCTTATTCAGTGACTGTGTAATTTCTTTGAGCAATATTCAGGGCATTTCTAGCATAGTATATGGCGTGAAGAATCTTCTCAAGCATTTGACCTAGCACTATGTCAAGAACCACCCCGCTTGCATCACATATAACTTCAAATGATTGTCCTTAATCCGGTGAAAAAATAATAGATGCAAAAATAAGATTCTCTTTCAATCCTTTAAACGCCTTCAGACAAGCTTCTTCTCAAGTAGCTTTCATAATAGGTGCACTATCTTGGAGAAATACTTGATAAATATTTGATAAAAGTTAGCATGTCCCAAAAAGCTTCTAACACCCTTCACAGAGATATGTGGAGGCAATTTGTCAATTTAGCGTGATCCACTTTAATGCCTTTGTTGGAGATTTGATGACCAAGAACCATGCCTACTTTCCCCATTAACTGAAGCTTCTCCCAATTTAGCACAAGATTGCATTATTCACACCATTTCAGTACATCACCTACATGAGCCAAGCAATCATCATACGAGTCACCTACTACAGAAAAATCATCCATGAAAACCTCAATAGTGTCTACACAATGTTTGAGAATATAGAAATCATGCAACGTTTAAAAGTAACTGGTACATTACACAACCCAAAAGACATCCTCTTGAAAGCAAACGTCTTATATGAAAAAGAGAAAGTGGTCTTCTCTTGGTCTTCACGATTGACAGAAATTTGATTGTAGCTTGAATACCGTCAAGAAAATAGTGCCATCTTTTACCAGTAAAACGATCTAAAATCTGATCCATAAACGCCATTAGGAAGTGATATTTCTTTGTCCATGCATTCAATTTGCGATAATTCATGCATACTCTCCAACTAGTGGCCGACCTCACATGTATGATCTCATTCTTTGCATTGGGAACGAAGGTGATTCCTCCCTTCTTAGGCACACATTGAACAGGGCTTACCCATTTACTTTCAACAATAGGATAAACCTCTCCACCATCTAACCACTTGATGATTTCATTCTTGATGACTTCTTGCATCGATGGATTAAGTCTCCTTTGGTGCTTAATGTTAGGTTTGCAGTCAGGCATGCGTTGGATTTTATGAGAACATGTACCTAATGGAATGTCTATGATTTCAGCAATAGTCAATCCAATCGCCCTCTTGAAGAATCTCAACATAGATGGCAAAGCCTCTACTTTTCCTTTAATAAATCAGCAGCAATGATGACACAAAGTATTGTTTGGGCCAGAAAAACATACCTCAAGTGAGATGGGAGAGCTTTGAGTTCCAACTTCAGAGGCTCATAATTAGATGGTTTTGTAGGTGGGATCTCTCTATTCTTCATATCCAGCTCCAACTTCTTTGGTGCATAAATAAACTTCGCCAATACATTAAGTGCACTGACCATTTGGTCATACTCCTCAATGTGTTCTCCATTAAAGTTCATAATCATTGTCGCTAGCACCTTTACACCAAGTCTTCTTCAATTGGCACCCCTAGTTGCTCCTCAATAGTAAAGTTTAGGATGAACAATACTTTGAGATCACTTTGATGCTCTATCCATTGACAGATGTTGATAGTTACCTCTTTATTATTCAGCCTAAATAACATCTTTCCTTTTCCCATATCAACCAAAGCACGCCCAGTTATAAGGAATAGTCATCCTAAGATGATGGGCAATTCAAAATCAACCTTGCAATCCAGATTCACAAAGTCCGTAGGGAATATGAAAGCTTCAACCTTAACTAGAACATCATGAAGGACACTAATTGATTGATTTATAGTGCTATCCGTTATAAGTAGCCTCATTGAAAGCAGTTTGGGGGGGCTCTTAAACCCAACTTTCTGAACAACAATAAAGGAATCAAGTTTATGATAGCACCCAAATCATATAGATCTTTAACAAAACGAAATGCACCAATTATATATGGAATTAGGAAAGTTCCGGGATCCTCCTTGTTCTGAACTAATGATATGGTGGCTATGGCACTACAATGTTGCAACTTGTCACACCCTTCCAAACTATCAGCCCTTTTCTTAGTCACTAGATCCTTCATGAACTTTGTGTAGCCCGACATTTGTTCTAGCGCTTTAATTAGATGAACATTGATTGAGAGTTGCTTCAACATTGAGTTGAACTTGCGATATTTACCTTCCTCAGTTTTCTTGACTAATTTCTGATGAAATGAGGAGGAGGTTGAGGCATCAAAATTATCTTTTATGTGGCTTTATCTTCTTTCCCGACTTGATCTTTGGGTTTCTCCACTTCTTCAACTCCAGTATCTTCGAGTTCCTTAGAACTTTCCACTACTGTAGGCATAGGATGATCGATGGTTTGCTTTCCACCTCAAGTAGTGACTGCCATGCAGTGCCCATCATTCTTCAGATTTTTTATAGTAATGCTTGGAATTTCCTTTCTGGCGTGAATTCGCGGATGAAGAAAGTTTACCCAACTACTGCTTGATCTGTTTAATGGATACTACAAGTGAATGTATATTTTGACCTATGTTTGGTAGATGATGTACCACATATATATGGTACATATAATGCTTTAAACTTGAGGTTTTTCATGTCTTTTAAGCACTTGTCAGTAGATCTGATGGTATTTTATCTTTGTTTTACAGGAAAATAGGTTTTGGCAAGTCAAGTTGAAGAGTACACTGAAACAGCAGATTTTTAAGGTTCGACAAGTTCACCTATGATCCATAGAATTTTCTACGAGCCATAGGAACGAGTCTTAAAAGTAACAAGTGGTTTTTGGAACTAAGTATGGAGTAACGAGACTGGACTACGAGTCGTAGGACCAAGTCGAGAAGATACGAGAGATTTTGATCTCCGGTACATGTACTATGATTAGACACGACATGTCATGCAAAGGTCTACGAGCTACATCAAAGAACACAATATGCAATTAACTCATTAAAACACAATCATGCCACATCAAGAAAACACTTAAGCATGCTCAACTAGTCAACTCATGAAATATTTTAGCAACTCATCATATATGCATATAAACATGAGAGACATCATTATGAAAACTCATTTTCTCATTTAACAAGAATTCAACTTAAAGCATGCATCATTATAAGGAGAAATATAGAAACTCATTTTTTTACACAAGACTCCAAAAACCATGCATCATGCTTCTACAATTCTATGACTCAAGCTTGATTAGGAATAGAAGAAAGAGACAAGAATTTCCAAACTCACCTCAACTCATCATTCAACATACCATCCCCCACTTAGGAGAAACCCATCTAAACCAACACAAAAGTATTCCAACACAAAACTAGACATTATGACTTACCGGTACCTTTATCCGGATTTGCTTCCTTGTTAGCTTGGAGAGCATAGAAACGATTCCTTGCTTGGCCATCAACACTAGGACCACTATAAGGAGCTTGCCTAGCATTCCTTCCTTTAGCCACAATATTAGGACAATCTCTCACCTTGTGATCATTCTTTCCACAACCATAGCACCCATTAGTACCGGCTAGACATTTCCCAAAATGCTTCTTTCCACAAATGGGACAAGTAGGCTTAACAAATTGAGATCCACCACCTTTCTCTTGGTTAACCTTGGGAGCACTTGAAAAATCTAGGTTTGGTACCCTCTTCTTGAACCTAGGTTGACCTTGCTCATCAGATCTACCCCTCTTCACATCTCTATTCATCCTCTTAAGTTTGGACTCCTCAATAGATTGAGCATACACAACAAGCCTAGAGATATTCATGTCACCATGGACCATTGCCGTACGACACTCTTCTTTCACCAAGTCGGATACACCGGTAACAAACCTACTCATCTCCTCTCTAGAGTTAGACACCAAAGATGGAGCATACCAAGACAACATAGAGAACTTCAAAGCATACTCCTCCACACTCATATTACCTTGCCTAAGATTAATGAACTCCTCAATTTTGCACTCCCTCTTCTCTAGGGGAAAGTACTTACCCAAGAATGCTTCCTTAAACTCCTCCCATTCTATAGGACCCGCTTCCTCTGGCCTATTTGCCTTCCATTGAGTGTACCAAATTTGGGCCACCTCTTTCAATTGGTATGAAGCCAATTCCGCTTTCTCTCTAGAAGATACTCTCATAGCATCCACAATTTTGTAAATCTCATCCAAGAATCCTTGGGGATCTTCTCCAATTCTAGAGCCCAAAAAGATAGGAGGATTCATCCTCACGAAGTCTCTCAACCTTGAGGCTACCGTACTCTCATAAGCATTCACCCTAGGCCCCATATCTCTATTTGCTTGAGCCGTCATGGCTTGGGCTAGGGTCACAAAAGCCGCTCTAATCTCTTCATTAGTCATGGCCGGGGGAACCACCGAAACCTCATTCTCTTGCTCACCTATAGGAACTTGATTGCATTGCACACCTTGACCATTTTGCACAACTTGAGGACGAACTCCCTCATCACCTAACTCATCTTCCTCTCTCCTTCGATTCGCCCTCGTATTCATTTCCTATAAACACAAGAGAAGGATTAGGAAAAGGACACTTATAAATCAAACTCTAAGGCACGACTTCAAGAATAATGAAAGAAGTGTAACTTCTACCGTCCTATAGCCTCTCGCTCATAGATGTGTCGCGACTCACACCGATGAACAAGACTCTACTAGACGTGGCTTTTGAGACTTTGAACCTAATAACCATTTCCCAAAACCTTATGCTCTGATACCAAGTTTATCACGACCCGAGAGCACCCCCAAGTCGTAACATGCGTATTCGACCTCTCGGAGGTCTCATACAAGCCCTTAGCATTCATCACATTAGATATGTAAAATAGTGCGGAATTAAAAACTCTTTAAATAAAATCCCATAAGACTCAAAGGTCACTTTTAAAAACATCATTCAAAAGTACACAAGCGGAATACTAAGTCTCTTAGCCATCTTAGACATAAACGCGAAAACATACTAGGGACACGGCCCTTTGCAATCAAAAGAAGTCTATTAAGTCTATTACAAGAACCTTATCATAAAACTAGAATAGGAAAGTCTTGTCCTCGACATATGAGGACATACCACAAGATCTTGGAAGAACTTCAAGTTCCAAGCTTACTATAGAACCCGCTCACTTTCCGGAACCTACACTTGTAGAAAATAGAGACATATGGAATTAGCACAATTAAGTACTAAGTATGATGACCATGCAAAAATATGCCAAAACGGACATTTACAAGGAATAAATGCTTTCATATTATTTTGATAAAACCTTCACTTCCCAAGTATAAGAGACATAATACAAGTCAATGTTCACATATAAAACCATCGCCAACCATATACATACTCAACATATATTCATATACAACCCATGCTTAACTTTAAAAGAACACACGCCATTTCATTACCGTAGGACCTCTACCTAATATAACCTTAAGACACACTTGAGTGAGACAAGAAGTGACCGCCCATACAACCTCTTCAAGCACACTTAAGTGTTCCTCAAGATTACCTTAGATAAGGACACTTCCTTTATAACATAACATCAATAGACCAACATTCTTTAAAAAACCATTTAGGAGACATTCAAGCACATAAGGGGACTTTCACATAATAGTCGTTAGACTTAGGGAACTCACTTTAGTATTTTCAAAGCCTACTCGTGCCATGTGTAGATAGCATCCCATACTACTACCTACACGTTGTAGAACCTATCCAATAACTAGAGTGCACATCCCACATGATGGGAATAGGCATAACCGACATAGACCATACTAGCTAGGTATGGAATCCGGAGTCTACCCTACTCCGTGGAAGGTGTTCTACTTGCCAAAGGTAGAACTAATAAGCAACCCATGTAGGCACATGGTTTAGGGGATGTCCAAGGAAGTTCATTGTGCCTAATCTCATACTCAACTAGGCCACCTTCCTAACCACATCCACTCGGTGCTAGCCTTGTTTCCCATAGAGTATTAAATCACATATGTACTTAGAGAGGGTTCCTTTTCTAGTTCAACCAACTCATAGTACCTCTTCCCAAGAAAGGCCCCATTTCTTAGTCATGGCCAATCAAGGTTCATAAGGATAGCTCATTTGACTTTCTTAGATAAGGATTTTCATGCCGTTCCGGCTGCATCCATCTCTAAGTCTATCATCTCACTCAAGAAGGAAACTTCGCCCTAAGGCCCATCCTTCAAGGTTATACATTTACTTAGGAAAGCTAGACTTATGAAAAGGCACCATTTCTTAGTTTTGCCGATTCAAGTCGTGGCCTAGAATTCCTCTTTTAGCATTTATAGAAAGGGCACCATTTCTTAGTTCTAGCCCACTTCACACATTCATGCATTCAAGACTTTAAGTAACAAGGAGAGACACTTTAGTCTACCAACCAAGTCACAACATTATCATCTAAGGATACTTCATAATCCAACACCATTTCATATATACATCATGAGAAAAATCATACTTTAAATCACAATGCTATCCACTTTACATAGGATCATCACAAGATCACATAAACTCATTCACATCATACCTTCACACATAAAGTTTCACATAAAACTTTACATATAGCTTCATATAGGACTTTACATATAGCCTCATTTATATATATAATATACAATACAATAACACTTTGTACAAGATCACCTTATAACCATAAGAATACCTTCACATAGTACAATAACATTTCATAACTTGATAACACTTTAATTCAATAGATAATGCATTCAAGTCCATGTTCATAATACATTCCATAATTAAACACCTCAACCATAAGTGGATCAAACTAAGCAAGAACAATTTTATCCATAATAAGAGATTAAGCCAACTTACCATCCTCCAAAGCCATAATCAACAACACTCAAGTCCCAACCATTTTACTTACCACAAGAGAATTCATCCATAACTTGCCCATAAGGCCACAACTTTCAATTCATCCATACATCATCAATTTATCATAGATAGATGTAGAAAATCATAAGAGTCACTAATACAATCCAATCCAAACACAATTTCATAAACTTTGAATCATAAGCAAAAGACCCACTTCATAAGCAAATTTAGGAATTTAGGGAAAACATGGGTTCTTCAAGGAATTCCATACGAAATCATCTTAAAAAATATTAATTCATCAATATAATGGCTTAGAAAACGTTTTGCCAATGAACCCATGCTTAGATTAGAATTTGAGATTTTGTTCTTTGAAACCCTTTTGATTGGACTCCTTGAAAGAAAGATTGATCAAGGATCAAGGGTCACCATACCTCTAAGTTGAAAGCCCACGAAAAATTGAAGAAGAAAGAACTCAAAATCATCAACCCTAGCTCCAACTTCTTCTTCTTCTTCTTCCTCTCTTCTTCTCTTCTTCACTCAAGAACCCTAACCCTTACTCTTTTAAAATGGAACAAAAATGATCCACAATCAGCCTAACACAATAATATAACCTCAAAAGAAAAGATTTGTGAAATGACCAAAATGCCCTTAAATTTCCAGACGGACTCCTTGCCAACTGCCCAACTTTCAAAGGGCATAACTCACTCATACGAACTCGGAATCGAGCAAACTCAGTGGCGTTGGAAAGATCGTTCCAATGGCTTTCCAAACATAACTGGAACTACTCCTGGATCATCCTGAGCGAGGAGTTATGACTGCTCAAAGTTGGCCAAAAACTCACTGATTTCCCACACTTAACCAAATTTCCAGGTTTTGAACTTAGCCAATTTCCAGATTCAGAACCTTTTTTCCAAAAGTGACTACTTCCAATTTATGCTTAAACTTTAAAAATTCATACGTTAGGCTCTAGTTTCACCTATCTATTTTTAGGGTCGCTACAGCTACGAGTCCAACACTGAGTTATTTGTCTTAGTCGTCTTGATCTGAAGTCGGGTTATCAGAATCCTCAAATCAATAAGTATAATCTTGTGATTTGAGCTTTCAATTTAGAGAGAAATTTTCAATTTAAACCTTCAAATTATGTAACCATTTTAAATTTGAAGACAAATAAATCAGCCCAAAAAATCATTCAAACAAAAAAGTTCTTCTTCTTTCCAATTTGTATATTTGTTGTGGGTTGTTTGAAGGATGAGTAATTTTTTTTAGAAATGGAGCGAGATAACAAAGAGAATTAATGGTGGAAACAATGGGTGGCTATGACCTATCTTTTTTCTACAGAAAAAAGAGAAGAGGAAGGGGATATTTTTGTTTTTCCTATTTTTAACTATATTTTTTTTTTCTGATTATATGTGTATTTCTAATGAAAAGTATTAATTTCACGCTCTTAACTCACATGTACCTCACACATTTTTTCAACTCAATAATTTTACTGTCACATAAGTTTGGTCAATGGTCAGAGGTGTTTAAAATATTATGTTTCATTGAGTTTAAGTGTTCATTTGGCAAAGTCATACGTAGAAGGTCCACTTTACAATCCGATACAAGTATAAAGGGTCCTTCAGACCATTCTGCCTTTTGTTTATTTTGTTGTTTGTACTCTTTTTAGTAGCTTTGTACCTTCATCAAACAGGTTGTGGAATTGGATCTTGTTCTATTGTATATATTTTTATGTTGTTTCCTCTTTCCACTGTTATTTCTCTACTCTACTGTTTTTTTCTCTTTTCGCTGTTGTATGACTTATGCCCTATATGCTTGTTAATTGTCGTACATTGTTCCAGTACCATATTTGTTGGCTTACCTACCGACGGGTTTGATAGATGCCACCACAACTCGAAATTTTGGATGGTGACAAATGTACAATGCAAATTCTTAGGAAAAATATCACACAGTTGTTTCAACAACATATAAATTTTTAAATACATCAGGATGTGCAGTATTTAAATGTAAATATTTTTTAAGTGTTCAAAATAATGTGAAATGTTTATGTAAACACCATAGAGTTGTTAATGTTTATATTTTATTATTTCTTTATATAAACATTCACTCTTATTAGAAACTAGTTTTCGAACACGTGCGTTGCACATATATACCGTGCTAATTAGTATAAATACTTCTAAAATATAAGTGTACGATATGTAAAATACAAGTTCGAATCAATGAACAATGAACATAATCAACTGATATTATTATCATTGCAAGACACATCATACAAAAAAATTGTTATCAAGTGAATTTGAAAACTAATACTATAACGACTTCAATTATACAATTCTTATAATATATCAAGTATTCAACTTGTTAAAAGTTCTTTTTTAATATGTTACAACACATAATTTAAATGTCAACATTATAGTTACAAAATATTTAATGCCTTAAAGTTTCCGCCTTCTTTTTAAGGAATAAT